AAATTGAAAAAAAATTGATTTGGTAATATCTCTCGACCCAAGGGTATGCTCAAATACTAAACATGTAGTACTTTTATGAATAATTTTTTGAATATTAAAATACAATCAATTTTATATAACATTTATTTCCCCAAAAATAATTTAAAAGTGAGAAAACTGCATGTGTTGCTATTGCGCCCAGTATTTTAGAAAAACGAGAACAATGCTCAGATAGATGGACACCGCCGCTTAATATTAAAACAGCGCTTTCACGAACTAAAAAAACCCAGATACATGGACACGAAGATCACGCACTGACAATGGTAATGGCATGGTAATAATGAGAAATAAGTTTGCTGAAAAGATCGGGCAAAGTGTTTCGTATTTCATAAAAAGTGTGCCTTAAAATAAAAAAACAAAATTTTGAGGAAAATATCGTGTCCCAAAAAACTCGAAAACTTTGGAAAAAAGATATTCACTTTCTAGCGACTTCTTCTATCTTGAAAAACTGAAAATTTTAAAATCGATTGGCTCATTCGTTGTATAGAACAAAGATTTTCAACATCGACAAGAATTTAGCAAAGCCCACTTTTTCATTCTGGAACTCACAAAACAAAATGGCAGTTATTGTCTCCTGCGGTTGACATGTTAATTATTAGATCACAATCACTGTTGTTAGATCACAATCACTTTATTATAATCTACTTATCACGTCATAATCCGTCTGGACCACAATCACACAAACAACACATTATCCTGTCACGGTTTTCCTCAGAACAGAGTTCGAAAAAGAATTATATTTGTTAATTTGTTTTTTCAATTTTATCAAATAAAATCATAAAAATATAAAATTAAATGTCATTTGAATAATATTATAAATTAATCTATATGTTTATTTAAAAAATGACCCAAAATGTCAGATTTAATCCTAAATAAATATAATATTTTATCATATTTTTCATCTCACTTATTTGACAGTTTTTCTTAAGATATTTTAAAGATGGTACAACAAATTTCAATTATTTTATTTCTCAATGCAGAATGATCTTTCTTTATTTTATCTGATGAACGGTTATAGAACACAGTTGGGCCTGTTTGCAATGTGAAACTCAGCGGAATTTCCAAAAATTATTCTAAGACTGCTGTTGCATTGTGTACTGGGTTTAAAGGTAAGATCGGGCCCAAAAATTCCGGCCCGACCTGTGGCCGTGGGTATTAAACCTGACCTGATCCCGACTAATTAACGGTATTTGCAGGCCCGAAGCAAACCCGAAATTTCATATATTATTTAGATTTTTGAATTCCACACATAGTTTTAGTATATATTTTTTTATAAACATATATTTATTTAAAATAAAAGTCAGCGATAGAGAAGCCCGACCCGAACGTAATGATTGACATTTCAGGCCCGACCTGGGCGTCAGGCCTAACTGGGTTGATCTCATAAAATGAAACCGATAACTTTTTCGTACATAAAATAATTTTCATAACACTACATATATTGACCTAAATCCTCCCGCAGACATATTACTTTGCACCACAGACCATAAATGCTTTAATGAAAGAGTTTGAGGAGGTTTATCTTTCTGCGTCTCCACGAAATGAGTTTTTGTAATCACAGTAAATTCGATCGAGAACTCATTTAACCTTGGAGCTGTATTTTATAGGGTGAATGACCTTGAACTGACCTTTACTTTTGCTATTGTCGTTGTTCAAACTGAGGTCACAATCTTAACCTTTGAACTCGGGCCACAAAAGCTTTCCATTCTCCTCCCTCACTCTTGATCTTCAAAATTTTGATAAATTTCCAATTACCCAATTACCTAGGTTTCTCCTAACCTTGACATTTCGAGGGGAAAAGAGCAATCTTCTGGGTGACTTAGCATGACCTTTAACTGACCTTTAGTGCAAATTGCTTGTGTATAGCTTAATGCTAGATTATCTCTCTGATAGAGTAAAGATGTAAGGAGCTAATTCTTGGGCGTGTGCAAGTCCTAATTGCTAGCATATTAATCATATGTCAAGTGTCAGGTATAGGGCCGACAATTTTGTCTTTCTAAATTGACTATTTACTAGAGTAAAGAGCTATGATCTTCGTTTGGGATTTATTTCTTATGTTCAAACTGAGGCTGTGACCTTGTGCTGACCTTTACCTTTGAACTTACCTTTTACGTTACCTAATCACTGACATAGTTTTTTGACCTTCAAATCACAGATATTTATTGGTTGAATTCATTTTTGCAGGCTGCCTTCATTTTGGTTTGTTACAGGTCAAAGGTTACGCACTCTGTATTTGGGTAATTACATTACTTCCCATAATCGCCACCAGTAATTAAGAGCAATGAATTTGATTTCTCTGATTTAATTGCAATAAGAATTTTTCAAATCTATCACAGGAGAGCGATAATGCGGCTTAATAGATAATATGTCTCACAGATTATATTGCGTTTCCAGTTAATTTGCCTCAAACAAATTTAGTCAATTTTAACACTCTCAGCTGTGTTGATATTAAATTATTGGGGCAAAAGAGTTGGATTTTTCGTACATACATTAGCCCCCGTCACTAATGCGAAAATGTGTGATTTGAGAAAGACTTCCCTGCCACGTTTTAAAATAACAAATTAGTAATTATCCTCTAAGGGTTCGGGTTAGAAATGATTTGAAACTTTCCTGCCCCTCGCCCTAATTGGATAAGTACTATTTTTTTAAATTTTGGGCGGGGGGGGGGGATTAGGTGTTTTTAGTGGGGGCTTTGTTATAAGAAATCCGAAGTTTTTTGCTTTCTGACATTTTTTACACACCTTAGCTTCCATTTTGGCCTGGACCTTGTTTTGAACTAGCATGAAAATCTATTTATGACTTGTTTGCAAATCTTCTATCTGTATTCTTTGACTCTGTTCAGAACAAACATTGCAGAGTATAATTTGTGAAAGTGTGATGCAACAATTTTGAAATCTTTATTTTGATTTCTTTGAATTTTTCTCCATTTTGTTTTCCCAACTTTTGTTTGAACTTCTGTATTTTTCCGTTGTTCAACCTGTTCCAAAGGTCGATTCAATTCTCTCCTATTTGCTTTTAATTCTCTCAAATCTTCGTGAGTCGTAGTAAACAAAAACTCTAAATTACTACAACAGGTGTCTAAATTGCTGACAATCATTAAGGCAGGTTTAGACTTGCCCTAAATGTTGTTTTTAATGTCAGTTCTGTGGTTTTTATGGTTATAATATAGCTATAGTTCATTTTGTCTGAAATTGTTAAAGTGTTGCAATTTTTTTTTGTAATTTGCTTGATAATCTGTTTGATACTTTTAAGTGCCTTGCTGCACATTAAGACTGATTGGCACTTCCTTGGTGTGTGTACCAGGTTAGGGTTAGGCAATCTTTTTATTCCGATTTTTCTTATTTTAGTTCTATGACGAGTTCGGGGAATGTCTGTGTTAGCCAAGTGAATATACCCCCTGCCCATATAGGTTTCAGTCCCTTTACACAACTTGATGTAAAATAGGCGAACAAAATTTGCTACCTCCATATTGTTACACATAATGCTGGAGCACCGACTAATTTATTCCATGTAGTGTGACCCATGTATGTTTTGTGCTAGATTGTAGGCCTGTCATAGTATAGCTGACTAACTAATCCCATACCCAGCATGGATTGCTAAATGGATGAAAGGCAGTTGTGCAACATATGAAGAAGCCGTCTTATTGGCTTTCCTTTGTCTTGGGATGAAATATGAAAATCAAAACTGATCTTCAACAATAATGTGATTTATAACAATAGGGACTTGTTAACCCCACTGGAGGTCACAGCTTATATGCTGAAATGCAAAGTTTTCGGAAACTCAACTCAAATGACCTTTGGTCATATCTTCCTTACAGGCATTGTGGTATTTCTCAGTACAGAGCAAGGTTCTTTGTTGTTGTTGTTCTTGGACCGGGAGAAAATCAGTATTTTTACTATGATAACGGCCAATGCAGTCAAAACAAACTTTACGCCTCAACGAATTGCTGTTTTTCTTGTATTTTGATAGCTAGATACTGACATCCAGTGTACATATTGATGCAGAAAATGCAACGCTTGCTTGCAATGTAATGCTTGCTACCTTTTTCAGAGCTAACCAATAGCCTATGTCAAAATGTCATACAAAAGGTCTTTCATGAATTTAAAAAAAATGAAGAATATAAGGGTTTTATAGTATAATAATAATATACATATCAGACCAGTTGCACCTCACAAAAATTTGAAAAAGTTTTTTTCTCGAAGATGAGTCTCTTTCACTTCTGAAAGTGAACATCCCCTTTAGTTGAGCTAATTCTATAAAGACTTCTCGAATAAAGAAGTTGAAAAAAAAAACTATTGTAAGTTGTGTGAGGGTTGGAATGATTGACAGACTGATTACCATAATGTGTATCATAAACCAGGTTTTATTCAAAATAAAATGTCTGTCTTGTTTATCTATTTTTGAAAATTTCATCTCTGTAAAATTAATTCTCTTAATAATAGCAGGCAAGTCTGAACTTGCCCATTTCATTTTTCTCATAAAATATAATTTTTCTACTTTTGAGGAGAATCTATATTTTAAAACATGTTATGTGGTTTTCATGAGTCAATGTTGTGTAATAATGGATTTTATTTTGTCATAAAGCTTGAAAATTAGTTTCCTGTGGCTTGTCACTGCCAGGTAGTCTGTGTTTACTACACAGTATGATTCACCACAAATAGTAGGTTATTTGTATCCTATAAATCTACAAGTCATGATGATGCAGGAGGTGTGGTTTACTGGGGCGTGTGCCGAATCAAAAAGATTCTGGTCGTTTTATAAGCAGTCTTAATCTGACGATTTGTGTTTAAGAAGGATCTTGCATGAATAAATTATTTTTTTTTTTCTAGATTTTTTTCTGTGTTAAAACTTCCGTCTTTTTGCCCGATGCCTTTATCCTTCATTACAGCTATATAACGATTTCGAAACAAGTTGGCACAAACTTTTGCGAGCAATTTTTTAAACCTAAATCCTTTTTTCAGAAGTTGCAGTTGATCCCCATCGCACGTTTTGTCCGAACCCTCAATGTTCCTCCGTTTGCCATGTCAACCCAGACAGACAGAAACAGCAACGGAGTAAAAAACGAAAACATGGATCAAGAGCACAGGATACTCAAATGCCTGTTAAAGTTTCGTGTATTACGGTATGTCACTTTATTGTTACAGATATGAAAAAGTCTCTAGACCAAGTCTCTGGACCAAGGGCCGAAAATTGTGCCCACCTAGACTGGGGGGCCATGTAAGTGTGACGTTAAATTTACATTTTAAGAACAATATTTAGTGTTACAAAAGCAAAAGTGGAAAACAATGAGCCTTGCGCTAAAAATAATTTAATTGCAATCTCGACAAATTCCTTGAGCTATTTTTCAGCTTCAAACTAAAAAGTTTTTTTTAGTTTGGATGTGGCAGCATCAGGTAGGGGAGATTTGACCCCAAGGGCGTAGCCAATAATTTCCAAAGGGGGCAGGGGGGGAGTCTTGTTCTGAAATATTTTTTTGCTAAGTTAGATCAAAACAGTTAGCGAGTCCGATCGAACGCTGGAATACGCGTGTTTTTATTAGTATTGGGGTCTAAAAAGCATTTCAAGCTACGAAAGATTGCTATCTATGATACAGAAAAATGATTTTATTTTTTTACATTTCAAAAGGTGGGGGTTTCGACCCGCAAAACCACCCCCCCGGTTACGTCCCTGTTTGACCCGCAGGCTGTAGTTTGCCCATGCCAGCTCTAGACCAGGGCTACTCAACTGGCGGACCGCGGTCCGAATCCTGACTTTTCGTGTATTCGATTCGGACCGCGCCTAATTCTTTATTTTAAAACATTAGCCCCACTTTTGAAGTTTCCTTTTATAAAATCACTTTTATACATTTAAATATCTACTATTACGCCATAATAAACAATCTTGATTAGCTAAAAATCATTAGTCGGCCGAGGAAGTACAAGTTTAAGGATGCCAAAATATAATTTCTGGAAAGACCAGACTCAAATATTTTTGAAGTTTTGTATGCGGATCTTCGGTAAAAATAGTTGAGTCGCCCTGCTCTAGACCATAGAGGGGTAAGGTTTTCGGGCCAGGGTCAATTCTAATTGTAGCTCTCGTGGTGCTGTGGCAATGACTTATGAAAAAGAAGACGAAACAATTTGAAACAATTCTTAGAAAAATTCTGAAATTTTCGAGTTTACCGGCTAAAATTTTTATAGAGATAATTCAGTGTTATTTCATAGCACGCCTCCTTCATTGCCAATAGCATTGGGGAAATGCGCAAAACATTTGTTAGATTGTTGTTCTGAGGATAAAGTCGATTTTGATCTGAAAGCCCTAACATTGATGGCCACTCCTGAAGTATGTGTACCAGGTTAGGGTTAGGCCATAATTTTATTCCAATTTTTTCTCGTTTTAGTTCTATTACGAGTTCGGGGACTGTCCATGTTAGTCAAGTGAATATCCTCCTGCCCATAGGTTTCAGTCCCTTTACACAACTTGATGTAAAATAGGCGAACGAAATTAGTTACACACTTCTGGAACGCCCATTGGTGTACATTTGATGGGCAGAAAAGCAGAAATTTACGGCAGCATCAGGCGGATCAGATTGAATCACCCAACAGGCTGGATTTGGCCCACGGGTTGTAGTTTGCCAATGTCACCCTTAGACAAATAGTCGAGAGCCTCCTAGCGCAATGGCTCTCAACATGTGCAAGGAAGGTAAAGCTTATGCGAACCACCTGACAATCCTTCAAACCTGCGAACATACAGAGGGTAATCAGAGTTGCTGTGACAAGCGCATTCTCAACGCTTAGAACATGCCATCATCACGCTTATACGTCTGTATGATACATGATCTTCCTGGCAGGATATATTGCTTTAAATTCTTTTTCTTTTTCATTTCAGTGTCAACTCGAGTTCTGTCACATATGCAAAGCAGAGGTAAGTGTTCTTAGTGGATTTATATATCGAATAATATTCACCCAAGTGTTTCAATAAAACGTTGGAGGCGTTTGAACATCAAAAATATATTTATGTTTTTCATTCTAAAATTCAATCCTTTTAGGTTAAGAAAGTTTTCATATTCTGTACCCAGGTTCGTAGTCAGGAATTTTCAAATGCTTCTGTATTTTCAAAGTGGGGTTGTGGAATTTCTAATTGCCAACTTAGATCGTAACAGTCAGCGGGTTGGGCCGGAGGTTGAAAAATATGGATTTTCAAGAGTTTTGAGAGTCTGAAAAGCATTTCATCTTTCAAGCTGCGAAAAATTGTTATGTATGATACAGAAAAGGTATTTTTTTTAGAAAGAGGGGAGTGTTCTGAACCCCGAAACCTCCTCAATTTACTAAATATTCAAATTTCTGACTTTTTACTATTTTAAACTTGAAATTTTTCTTCAGTGGCCTACATCAGATACTGCCATACACAAGTGCAATGACCTAGGTCTGTCTGGTCCCGGGAAGAATTTGATAAAACTGCACATAAAAACAGGGTGAGTGTGAAGATATAATACGACGTTTCATAACATGTCATTTTGTCATACTATAGTAACTAGAGGGTGTGCTACCTTTTATTACAGGGGGGTCGGATACAAATAACTAGGTGATGGCCATGGGTTGCACCTTTATTATTTAACAAAGGCTTTACAGTAGTTGCAGGCACAAAAACTTTGATGATTGATCTTTAGTCATGCGTTTTTCGTTTCAAACAAGCTTAGGTATAGGGATAGCAAAGCAAAGAAATTGAAATTACTCACAAATACTAGATTAAACTAAATTTAAAACTCCTTTTACGCTCACCAATCAAAAATGGTACTTCTTCGCGGGCCGCACAACTTTTTCTTGTGGGCCACGTTTGGCCCACTCATTCGCAGGTTGCACACCCCTGCTCTAGTTGTTCACTGATCTAACTGTTCGTTTCTCTGTTTTCCAGGTTTTCCAAGTCCAGACGTGCGGACGCCATCATCAAGCGTTGTCCTGTTTGTAACACGTTGATTGAAAAGGATCGGGGCTGTGCTCAGATGATCTGCAAGAATTGCACTCATGTGTTCTGCTGGTATTGCCTCAAATTACTGGATGTAAGTAAAGCAGAAGATTCTTTTCGTGAATTTGCTCGAAGCTTGGTCATACATTAATTCAGAAATGAAGGAACTTGATCTCTGAGAAAAGTTAAACATTGTTGAAATGCAAAGTAAAGAAGACTCATCTCTGAGCAAAGTTCTGGGCACTCACTCAGAAGTAAAGGAGACTCATCTCTGGGCAAAGTTTTGGGCACTCACTCAGAAGTAAAGTTGATCTATGTCTGAGCACAAAGTTATTGGAGGCCACTGAAATGTCATGAGGTACTGACCACTGAAACTATAAAAAACTTAGTGTGTGTCGATTCAATCTATTACACTCTGGCTGAGATTCTTTGGATGGGATTCTTTTCCCAATTCTATTTGGACAGTACGATGGCCGAGTGGTTAAAGCTTTCGACTTGACTGTGTTGTTGCGCATCTCAGATTTGAATCCCACTCCTCCTAATTGTTAACTGTATCTTTATTGTATTTCTGGCAACTATCGTTTTCCCAGATGGCTGAGCATGACCTGTGATGTCATCAGTCCTGGGTGACTGATCATGACCAACCAGCTGTGAAGGTGAAGTAGCCATGTGCTCATTCCTGTTGATGTGTCTTGGGAGTTATTTGGCTATGTTTATGAGCATTCACTAATTATACGTTTATACTGATACCAAATCATACAGGGGGTAATAAATTTGGAAGATTCCGGTCTTTTCAATAAAAATTTACTCCCCACATATCAATGGCTGCTACCACAGAGCCTTATTCAGAGCAAAAGCCATGAACCAGCGACTAATAAAAAAAATGATTTTATCTTTCTTGCTTTTCAGAATGATTTTATGCTGCGACATTATGACAAAGGACCTTGTAAAAATTTCCTCGGGCACAGCAGATCTCAAGTAATGAGGCATCGACTCGGGGTGAGTATCTCCAATGAAATGGTTTACAAACAGTGTTTCATTGCACACTAGGGTTCAGTCGGTATAGTCTAGGCCCTAGGGTTCTTCAAGTTAACATTCAAATCCATATTATTATATGTATATTGTTTGAATATAATCAAATATCTATTAGGTTTTGCTACTATTATTAAACATGCTGCGTTTTTTAAAGATAGTTTTGTTTGGTATATGAGTATATTTTACTTCTGAAACTATAAAAAAATAATGGTGGTGCATTATTTAATTCAATCAGAAGTAAGTATACTCGTATCTTGGCAAGTTACGGGCAAACAATAAAATATCAATAGCTTCTGAAACTATATATAGAGTAATGGACGTGCATTACACGCCAGTATTAAGCCACGATTATTTTTATTGAATTTTACTTTAACAAAACCCCGCGTAATTCACTCAGAAGTGAATAAAACTCATACCTGAGTGTAGTTAGGTGCATCCACTGAGGTGTCTCATTACTGAAAGTGCAATTTTTGACTTATTCGAAGGTTATCGGACTATTTGCTGCCTTCACTCTTCTACTGATCGTAGCTTCCCCCATCCTGCTTCTGGCCGCACCAATATTCTTATGTTGCAAGTGGAAGGATTGCTGCGAAAGGGTTAGTGCTGTTTTCTTTTTTATTTAATAGTAAAGTTCAGTCAAGTTTATTTTTTTTCAGCCAGTAAATAAAATAAAAAAACACGGGAAAAAAAAAAATGAAAATGACGCAGTTTTTCCCAGAAAAGGAAGTCATGAAAACCTAAGCTGGTTATCGAGCAGCGACACCCAAGGTTCAAATATCTAATACGTAAAATTGAAATGTTAGCGTTAGGAAACTAGGGGACGATGGCCTAGATCATAGGTTCTCAAAGTGCTCCGTACGGAGCCCCAGGGCTCCGCGAGAGAAACCCAGGGGCTCCGCGAGCTATTCGATTACTTTTCAAATACTGACTCAAAATTTTGTAACTGTTCAAAGAAGCGATAACAGCTCAGATAAAATCTGACAACAATATAGCCTCGAAATATGGTAAAGAGGCGAAATTGAAAAAATGACATTATTTATAATCAGGAACGTAGCCAGGATTTTTAAGAGGGAAATGGTTCAAAATTGGAATCGGAAATTTCCGCGCAACATTCTTCGCGATTAAAAAAACGGATAACGAGATTTCTGTTGCGTAAAATATTCAATCCATGACCGATGCGAGCATTTAACGTGTCTCGTCGTTATAATGTAATTGTACTCATCGTTACTCACACTGTCGGTGCAAAACACGAACAATTGAAATTTATTTTATTGCATTCGGCTCTGTCGCTAGTTTCAGAATGAAAAAAGGTACATCGCGAATCACATGCACAATTGACTGTGTGCGGCTCCGTCGGTAGTTTCAGAATGGGAAAAAGGTACATCGCGCGCACAATTGACTGTGTTTCGATTTCGCAGTTACTACGATGAAAACCTAACATAACACCAAATTTTGTAATTTACAATGTCTATAAAAACGTTTTCTATCTGAGATGAGTCTGCTGAAAACCAAATTTGTGATCTTCTCTTCTAAGTTTCAGTTTTAATATTTTAGAATGCCGTTTTTCAATCAAGAAATTTGAGTTGCGGATTTACCTCTTTATTAATTATTATTTTTAGCATTTCATCGCCGATGGCTATAATATGGTAACATAATTTTCACATTGAACTCATAATTCCCCACGAGAACAAAAAAGCAATTAACGTCGTCAATGTGTAACAATACATGTATATATATGCCGAGGGAAATTTTTGATTCACGGAGAATAAACACCGGCGGTAAAGATGTTTAAAGGTTCAAAGATACGCCATGCTGACGAAAAAAATCGGCAATCGAACAAAATCGCGCACGTTATTAGCGGCCTTTTAGGTCTTCCAAAAATGTCGAAAGGGAAAAGATTCGACCACTAATTTATTAATGTTTGTCAAGTGTGAAATTTACAGCTTCAGTATATATATAATTTATGTTTGAAATTTAAATTTATGTATGACTTGTATTAACCCTAAGGTTCAGCATTTAAATTAAGTAAAGTACTTTTAACTTGCTCAGGAATATTAATCTGAAAGTAACAATTTTAACATTTATTTTTTGGGGCTCCGTGAATAATAGTAAACCTTTTCAAGGGCTCCGCAACACCAAAAGTTTGAGAACCCCTGGCCTAGATGATGCATTGTGTGCAAAATACCTGCACTACATTCAAAGAATAAAACAAGCCACAGTAAACGTTTTTGAATAAATCATTGCAAATGAGGCTCTTGTTTGTGGTGTAGCCAGAGAAGTTCTCCTTGGCACACTAAGCAGCAATGTAAGCACCCCTCCGTAAATTTGCAAAGCAAGGTAAAAAGCGTAGTATCAAAGTCAATGCCTACCACCTCACTCAGGCCAATAAATTGGAATTCAAAAACGTCAAATTGCTTCGTTATTTAATTAGTGAAGGCCTTGGTTTATACTTTATAGTCTCTAGACTCCAGAGAGGCTGTTGCCTAGGGGATCTGGTCCCAATTTGAGCGAATCCTTTTCAAAGAACCAAATTCTTCATTTCTACTTTCAGGCCTGGCGTCGAGCTCAGCAAGAAAACAATAATGCTTTGTTTGCTGAACTTGAAATGGGAATGAGGAATCCACAACACAATAGGAGTAGTTTACAGGTCGTGTCTGAGGTCAAAGATGAAAGGTCAATAGAGAGGTGGGAAATGTTTTGTTTTTATTTTATGAAATATTTCAAATGGATTCACTGGTTCTCAAACTTTTTTCATTCGTGCCCACTTTTGGTGCACAAAAAATTGTAAAGTGCACTCAAAAACGTTAGGTTCACTAAACCCTACTTAACTGTATATTGAAGAAGACTTGCATGTGCAAAAGTTTTTGCCGACTCATTAAATATAAATAAATTCAGATGAAGATTGGCTTGGATGTAAAATACTTATCACCATTGTGAGTTAAAGTTTATTTAAGAGAATATGTTTTAAAGTACGATTGTGTACACATACGAAGAAGTACAGGAGGCTCATTCCTTAGCAAAGTCACGAACGATCACTGAAATTATATAGAATTATGATGGTGTAAACCAGAGATGTACTGATAACATATTTGTTGCTGATACATCTCTGGTGTGAACGTATGCAGAGCTTCTCAATTATTGGTTGAGATTGGTTGTTGAACTTGATGCTTCTTGTGTTTTAGGGAATTCTGAATTTCATTATCACAATTAAAAAAAATTAAAAATTTCGACACTCAGCATTTTGAAAATAGGATTCTTCCATCAATATAAACTTATTATAAATTATTTTATTCAGAAATGCAGAACAATTATCCTCGCAAGCTCAAAGTTCCTTAAGGTTTGAAGATCGAAAAATTCTGTCTAACTCAGGAAATTTAGATGACATTAGCTCACAAGGTGAAGCATCACGAAATTCATCTATCATTGAGTCACATGGTGGCGCTAGTGTATCTAATACATCTGAAATACTAGATGTCGCTAGTGTATCTCGCAAAACTGAAGCACTGGATGGCGCCAATGTGTTTGATAAATCTGAAACACTAGATGGCGCTAGTGTATCTCACGAAAATGAAGCACTGGATGGCGCCAATGTGCCCGATGAATCCGAAACACTAGATGATGCTAATGTGCCTAATAAAACTGAAACACTTCGTTACACAAAGGAGCCAAAAGGAAAATCATTGCAAACAAATTCATGTGATGGCAACACATCATTGGTTGACACAGATGTCTACCATAAGATGGCCACATCCACTTCCTCTCAAAATAATGATAATAGCATCTGACAATGAAGTTCAAATGTTTTCAGAATAGGATTAAGTTAACACTCCGTGGACGCAACCCGACAAAAGTTGTGGTTCACCGTTTCGAAGAGCCGAGCATTAACGATTATTAACTAGTCATTCTTATACTTGACCCAGCTGAAAGGCCGAGGTTAATTATATCATTAATCTTTTTATCAGCTTATTTCTTCATTGAGATAACCCCAGCGTGGGTACATGGCCTCGGCTTTCGTTTTACTGATCTCTGTGGGGGTGAAAGTCCCAAATCCCTGAGTCAAGATGAGTCACGGTTCATCTGCGACTCGAGTCAAGTCAATCACTGAGTTAGTCTCACTGGGAATTAGCTGATGTCTCTGATAAATAGTGTCTCGGTCGAGTCAACAACTTCAGTCGCCCCAACACTGGCATCAATATCCACCACAGACACACAGTACAGTTTCACAGACCTCTTCAATCCATGAGCATGTGTTTCCTAAACTGTGTGTTGAGGCCTAATTTCAAGTACTCTTGAAAATACCAATCCATTCCCTAAAACAGGGTTTCCCAAACTCTCTGTTCATCGGTACCCTTTGGCCACTTTGTAGATTCTTTCTTGTACCCCAAATCTGCTGTTTTGTCTCGCATGTTGTGATTGGACAAAATAATTCATGTGAACTGCGAAAGTTTGTGTAGTAGTTACTGTAGTTGTAGATGAAGCTTCTACCGGGGTGAACTTGTGACTTCGTAATGAGTTCCTAAACTCGGGTCTTCAATTTATTAACATAAGGCAGATTGGCGGTTATAGAAAAAATATCTCCATAATTAATCTTAATGTACTTACCCCTTAAAAAGTCAAAATTTACTACTGGGTGTACATGTACCCCAGTTCGGGAACCCCTGTTCTAAAAAATTACTTCAGACTGTTTAGAACTTCATATAAAATGATCATATATCGGCTATATCGAAAATTTGTAATGGAACACACTTCATGTGCACAAAAGGGGTCAAGGGTCATCGATAAAAATGTGAACATATCGCATCACTTTTTCTTGTAAGCTGTATTAGTCGTGCCTTTATCATAGTGAATGTGTCGTGAGTTTGGGAAACTGCAGGTATTTGATGCATCAGCCTGTTTCCATGACGATGGCAGTGTAGATTGAAATTTATTCCGAAACAACCAACTGTGGCCATTTACAACTTTTTCAGTCTTAGTTGAGCGATTGTGATGTTGCTTTTGAGCGAATATATGGCTTCTTGTGCATTAGTGGTTGCCTGCAACTCTCCTTTTCATACTTTTTCCTACTTTTGGTTGTAATGGTTATGACTAGTGCTGAGCATTTTGAATTAAACAGTAAATTGTTTGAATCAATTTTGATTTGAATTTCGAATCGCCGCCATCTTGTTTTTTGTCCGTCCGCAGGTCAAGATGATCCCCTCAGTGTTTTATTCATGTCAATACCTATACTTTTTTTTTCCTAGTGAAAATGCCCAGCCCTTGTTTTGTGACCCTGCTTTGAGTAAATTTGTAAGAAAACCTGCATTCTGTAATAAAAGACGGCATTCTAAAGTACTTTTCAGTTTTTAATCAAGAGGTTGCTTCAAGCAAACTTCTTTCAAAAGTGACAAAAATTGTGCAATACTGACTCCAAACCTGCTTTTTGCCTTAAAACTCAGTTCAATTTGGTCAAAATCCCTCTGGATCAAAATCGGACTGTGAATTCCAACTTTGAAGTCTTGTGGCAACTTTTACTGGCCTGTACACACTTAGCTTTTTTTCTGATCATATGGACTTAAACTGCGTCATAGTCCTGCGTCATAGCTAACTGCCGTAATTTTATATAGTTTCAATATCTTGTCATTTTTGTGGCTGTCTGTAACTTTGCTCATAGATGAGTCTCGTTTACTTATGAGTGAGTGCGTGCAACTTTTCTCAGAGATGAGTCTTCTTTACTTTTGAGTGAGTGCCTGCAACTTTGCTAAGAGATGAGTCTCCTTTACTTCTGAGTGAGTGCCTTTAACTTTGCTCAGAGATGAGTCTTCTTTACTTCTGAGTGAGTGCCTGCAACTTTGCTCAGAGATGAGTCTTCTTTACTTTTGAGTGAGTGCCTGCAACTTTGCTCAGAGATGAGTCTTCTTTACTTCTGAGTGAGTGCCTGCAACTTTGCTCAGAGATGAGTCTTCTTTACTTTTGAGTGAGTGCGTTTAACTTTTTTCAGAGACGAGTCTCGTTCACTTCTAAGTGAGTGCGTGTAACGTTGCTCAGAGATGAGTCTTATTTATTTCTGAGTGAATGTATGTATATATGTATGTTCCCTCAAAAATGTAACAGTATCTGCAAAACAGTATAACAGAAACGGGATAGATGTTCAAGATCTTACTGGCCAAAGACGCGGATGGGCACCCCTGCACCTAATGATAAGCAGACCTCCTGAAGTATGCGCACCAAGATGGCGCACAACCTGAACTCAGGTTGTGTACCAGGTTAGGGTTCAGGTTGTGCGACATCTTGGTGCGCATACTTCAGGAGTACCTGATAAGCATATTGAAAAAAGATCATTTGCACCCAGGCATATGACCTACCATCTTTGCCATGTATTTAAGTTATTTTCTGTTTAGTTATTGCTCTTTCATTGTATTTTACCAAAACTGTATCTTTTGTACAAACTATCTTCCTATTAGTAAGCACTGTGTACATTATTCCTGTATTATAAATATGTCTGTAATTGTGATCCTGTTGTGGTAATTTGTAGTTATTTGCAGATCTTGGGAGATAGGAAAAATTTACGCCAGGGGTCGGCAACCTTTTGTTGCTCGCGGGCCAAAATTAAGGTTGCAAGTCATTAGCGGGCCGCACATATTTTTAGAAAGTTGAAAAAACGAACGGATGGTACTTTTTATAATAAAAATCAAGCAGTGATACATCTCTCGAATAGACTATAGATTTATTTCCTCATTGCATCTCATAAATTCCATTTGAATATTTTGGCCGCCTTTGAACCTTTTGCACTTAGCATCAACTTTCTGCGTTTTGTTTCCATTTGCTTAATTATTATTAAATTATATGCTTATTAAACGAGTAATTGCGAATTATATATTTGTAGGTTATAATATAATTTGGTCTAAAGAATATATTCTCAAAACGGATTACGTTACTATAATTCAGTGAAGTGTCGCGGGCCGGATTATAGTGCTCTGTGGGCCGTAGGTTGCCGACCCCTGATTTACGCCGAACTTCGAACTCTGAACCTTTTAAAAAACGGTTCAGGCCTAAAGTACTGGATGCTGTTTAAAAACGATCCCAAGTTGACAAGAAATTCTGAATTCGGGGAAATCTTAGGCGCTCCCTTAGTGTAGTACACATACTATGTTCAGGTTGTGCGCCATCTTGGTACACACACTACGCCGGACTCCAATTCAGGGCTGTTAGGTAAAGGTTTTCAGTTCATGATTTTTTTGAACAAGAGTCATTTTCCCAAAACAGAAACTTTTTTTTACATATTATAGTTATTCAAAATTATTCACTAAATTTCAAGTAACTTGTGAAATACAATATACGATTCGTATCTGGGACACAACCAGAATTTATAGAAAAGGGAGTTCAAAGTCAGAAATTTCTGGGAGTCTAAGCTAAAATTATTTTCAACCAGGAGTAGATTGTAATTTTCTCAGACTCTCAACCCTGCTCAAAACTATAAACCTCATGAATAACAACTTGGGCTAACAAATCTATCAATTCCAAGTGGAATGAAATTTTGACTGCCAAACCAATTTTCATAACGAAAACTTCAGCGCGTACAATTTTTTTTAATTGTCTTGAGAGTCATTATTCGGTACTCCCGAAGTTTGTGAACCAAGATGGTGGACACCGGAACGTAGTATGTGTACCAGGTTAGGCAATAATTTCAGGTACAAATACTTGGGAGTCACTTGGCTAGTCCCCGAACTCGTAAGAGAACTAAAATAAGGAAAATTGTAATAAAATTATGGCCTAATCCTAACCTGGTACACATACTACGTTCCGGTGTCCACCATCTTGGTTCACATACTTCGGGAGTACACATTATTCAACATAATGATTCCTGAAATATTACTGTGACAAGATAATGCCGGCATTCATCCACAACCTGGCTGTGGAATTGCAAGTTGAAGAAGATTTTGACCAGCGGTTCAGCTACATCTCCGAGAAAACCGAATTTTAATAACAGAAACTTTGGCGTGCGCAAAAACCTCCTTAATTATCTATTAATCAACTTTACATCAGCAAAATTCTTGTTTTTGTTATAACTTTCAGTAAAAAAAACTGTCTCAGATTCCAGTTTCAAATTCTACAAAATTAAAACTTGTTTGGTGTAGGAATTCCCTAACTTCGATGGCAACCAAAATCTCCGACAAAACTATAAACCCATTGTTCTGACAAAGCATTGTCGCATGAAACTTTTTGTTTGTCAAATTTTTAATTAAAGAATACACCACAGGCTATTGCGCCAAATTCCAGTTTCGCGGTGTTCAAAGCTGGATTTTGTCAAAATTTTTGTCGGACAAAAGCGTGAAATATTCCAGCCAAAGACGTTGCATTGTATTTGTACCCTGTTTTGGTTCAGTTTGGTGTGTAGTTTTGTAGTGTGTAAATGATATGAACCCTAAAGTGTGGTATTGTGTTGGGAGCACTGATGTCAAACTGAATTGTCACAAACGATTTTCTCTAAAAATCCGAATTCATCTCAGGAAAGACAGAAATTTTTCTGCCCTTGCGCCGCCCAGCTTGTGTTACATACACCCTATATAAGGTGGGGTTTGAAATCTCAAGATCATGACATAAAATGGGTCGTCATATACTAATAAAAGAAAATATGATGATAAATTTAACAAGAGAGAAATGAGCAAAAAATATCGACATGCCGGTAACAAAAATATTTTGAGGAAAAAGCCATGCCTGACCAGCGATTGCGTGAACCATCATCCTACGATGGATAAGAGTATGACAATATTGTCGGACATGACTACCTCAGAAAGATTACTGAAAAGTCTGGAAATGGCTATATCATGGAGAACCGAACTGTGACTCTTCTTCGCGAGCATTTTCTCGACGGTTGGCGCGTCATGCACCTGCGTGGATTAAAATGTTTGAATCCCGAGTGAGAAAGGATTTCTGACTTCTCATCGCCGTAGGTTGATTCATGTGACTGGCCAGTTACGGCTCCCTCCACCATCAAGTCCATGCATCTGAAAACAATCAACTGGATAACTAATCTCATACCCGACATGGAGTTGTATCCGGACGACATATCACGGTTAGCCATATGATCAAGACATCTTATCGACTTTCCTATCCTCGAGATAATTGTGAAAATCCTATCCTATATGTCAATCAATCATCAATCATTTTATTTCGGCTCTCTGACTAAAACGGAACAATACAAAAAAGTAAACAGATAACAAATACAGAGATACCTGGAAGGCGAGCATAACTTAAAATAAAGGTAAAAAACTTACAAGTACGTTCCCACCCACCAAAAAACAAAATAGGAATAATACGAGTATATATACAAAAAATATGGACACGATTAAAAATCGGGCAGTGCTTATAACTCAATTTAAAATGATAAAAGCCAAATAATTGCTTGAATCAGTGGATAATTTACATGGAGTAAAATAAGTGTTGCGCTTGAAATAAGACAGCAAAATTCAGGTATTATTCTTTCCTTTAGGGTAGGGGTGGCCAACACGTCGGTCGCCACCTTCAGAGCGGTCGATCGTAAAAGATTTTGAGAGAAATTCACAAATTCACGAAAATATTGTGTTTAACCAGTTTTCAGGCAATGACTGTATTGTGTTCTATAATAGAGGAGTACCATACCGTCTGTTCTAGACACATAGTCCCAAAAGACAAAACATGATAAAATACATTATATTCGGTAAGAAATACGATTGGCCATTCGCCGTTCCTTCTGATTATTTGTAAAGAACGATTTCATTATCGTCAGAAAAGGATTATTCAGGAAGGCTAGCCTACTGATTCTTTTCTGTTTTGGCGTCTGGTCGATCGCAAAACATTACGGAGATTTTAGACGATTTCAGTCAAAGACAGGTGGACCATCCCTGCTATAGGCGAACGTAAAGTGGCTGTCTCTTCAAAGATTGGTATCGATGATTTTAGGTTTGCAAGTTATATCTCTTCGAGCTTTCTCCTTAATGCGGCTATGCATTCTACCAATTGGTTGGTTATGACGAAATATTCGTATTTTCGCCTGTTGTTGCGTGATTGACCACAAAAATAAATATGACACTTCATCAAAAAACCGCGCACGTGGATCGGTTTTGAAGTGTCAGCTCAACGGCGGATGGGAAATCTTAGAATAATTTATGAGAGTCTTCAACATATATTTTGACGTCCGAAGAACAATGATTGGGTTCGTCATCAGTCAACGGTTAAATTCAGAGACGTCGGGTATATTTTCCAACAATGAACTTTTGATAGGTTTTAAATTTTAATTAGCAATAAAAAAGAAAAATTGTTTACAAAAAGCGAATGAGTAAACGAAACTTGGTCGCCCGCTGGTTTTTTATGACGTATTAATTATACGCCTCGTCGCTCAAGGACCTCTTGACCCTATTGTTGCCATATCAACCTTCCGCGTTATTTTGTTTAGTCTCGCTAGTTTCTATTTAACGTTGGCGCTGCGCTGATTTATATCAGTCGGCGTTGCGCTAACGTGAATACTGGAACTCTGCTGACAGCGAGAAGCAAATTTTTGGATCGTTTTATTTATATTCTTCATTTAGTTAAGGTAAGAATTTTGACATTATTTGATATTAGAACTATGCCTTGAGATATCATTTTTATGTGGAGCGGAGGAAAGCCAATAAAATGGCTTATGGTGTAGTCTATCACGGCCAGCCATTTTGCGATTAGATTTTAGTATTTTCATATCAATTGCGAAGTCCGTCAAATTGGAGACTGTTGTTTACCAACTCATGTCGTGTATGGGAATATTTAACCAATTTTTGTTGGAGATACATGGACTTGATCCAGATACCAAAGTGTTGTGCTGTTGTGTACATGGGCGCATGTTTTGACCTCATTCTAGGTTATATTCTGTATTAGTTTAGTTTAATTATGATGGCAATGTAAGACCTAAAATGCTCTGGCAGATACGTGTCTGTTTTTGACAGTTGAATCTTTCCACTGCTCCTGGTGTATATTACCGAACTAAAAGCCCCCTTATAGAGCATAAGTTTATAAGTATAATAAGTTTATTTCGACTCCATAATCAGCAAAACAATAAAATGAATGGTAAAAATAAATAAATAAAAACTGATTATGAAATCAGGAGAGCGAACAAAACCTTAGATAAGGTTTAAAACGTACAGAATGTATATAAGATGGAAGGTTTTGCCAAGAAGATGTGGTCTCCTTTTGAGTTTTGGCAACTTTCGTGAATTTTCGTCCAGTTTGATTGTCATGTGTGTTGTGATTGTTTTTTACAATCGTGGTTTCAAATAAAGCAACTAGGGTTTATGAAAAAAACTGAATGTTCGAATTTTGAAAAATTTCTTTTGGAAATATCACCCTTCTGGGTGAAACATTTGCCAATTTGATTAAAGATCTCAAATATTTGTAGGTGGCTTTGTACAGACTGTGCAAATATCAGTTGTTGGGGCATTGTGCTGGAGGCGTAGTTCTTACCACTCCATGGCAGCTCCCGCCACGAACGAACCGCGGCATGTTCCAACCCAATATTTGTCCCCATAAGGGACAGCCCTGTCTTTACGGTCCACCTGCTGTGGTTATGGCAGCAAAATTTTACCTGCCATTGGTTTTCAATTTATTGCCACGGTAACGGCAGCTCGTCATTGGTTTGTGGCAGCTAAAAAGACAGTCGCTATAGGTTTGGCCGTAGCGGCCATGGTATGGAAATACCGCCATGGTTTTGCGGCTGCTGCAGACGCCACAGAATACTTAAAACTGCACTTGTTGTGCTGAGCGCTAGGAATATGCTTGCTATCATACCTCTGTTTACCCTGTGTGGGTTTGCAGGTTCAAATACAATGGGTATAATTATGTGTAAGAGCTATTGTAGGATGGTTTACATAACTGATGGCTATCCTCCACCATCAAGTCCATGCATAGAAACAAATATCAAATCTGGTTAATTCATCTCGAAATATATTTGAGGATCCTGAACTCTCCTCCATATTTATGATAATAATTTTTGATTAGCCATTCTTATACCAGATATGGACTGGTAGCTGGACAAGAGGCCGTGATTTGCCATACAATTAATCCCATCTTATTAGTTCCCCCCCTCCCCCCCAGGAATAAATATAAAAATCTTAGCCTATGTTCTCACTACAGACAAGAATGTCTGTAAATAAAAATAAGCTTGTGCGTGTTTTGGCTGTTAATATATCAGTGAGGGATACATCTTGGTTTTACATGAGAATACTATAATATGATCGTTGGTTTTGAAACAGTATTTCCATATTTCAGATATTACTGCCAGAATCAAGATGGGATGCTCATCATCAAAGGATGCAGTTCAAGCAATAACAGTTGAAGACGGAGTTGTTGTGAGTATTTGTTTGTTTTTTCACCCTGTCTAAGGCTTTAGACAAGCACTTGTTGACTGGTAGGGGGTGCGACGTTTCCTGAACTGTTTGAAAATCTACTGCCGACAAGCATGCACAAAACGAATTTAAATATTCGGAATGATTCAAAATTAATTGTAGTCAGTTTCTCAAAATCTAGAATGGCCACGTTCAAAATATCATAACTTCAGGTTTTCAAAGGGGGCGCCGGGACAATAGACGTTGATATCATTTGTTGCAGCTCGCAAACTGCAGTTCCTTTTCTGCTAAACCGAGTTTAGCGACATTTTTCCAGTATTTCAGAAAACACAGAAGGAGATGAGTCAAATTAGTTGACAATGCCTTTATTCCTTAGGCCCACATTTTGAAAACTTTAAAAAGCATAAAGTACATATAAAAGAAAATTGAGGTTCATTTCAAGGCAGCAAATTTTTTTTCGTTGTGAGTGTGAGTGACTTTTTCCACTGGTGTTCTACTGGTGCCACACAAACGAAAAGTTTGGCTGCTGCTGCTTTATATGAAGTACTGCTCACCTCTATATGTTTTCAATGAACACAACCTAATTTGGAATATCCGTGGTTATCGCAGGTGAAAAATCTCGGGTTCAAATACCATGAACAGGATTTGATGAATTGACCCAACTCTGATTCCAAAATACAGTAACTCATTACATATTAGTGGCCGCTTGTACGAGATCATTTGGTATTCCCATAGTCCAAAATTTTAATCCGCTTTTCCTTATTTTGGTTCTAATACGAGTTCGGGGACTGTCTGTGTTAGCCAAGTGAATATAACCCCCGCCCATGAGTTTCAGTCCATTTAAACAACTTGATGTAAAAGGTGCGAACAAAAATTAGTTACCTCCATATTGGTAGACATACTTTTGGATTGCCAGCCTTTTTTGGAGTGAAAGGCATAATACTGTTATATCAAAATGTGGCCAAACTCTGACTCTCGGGTATTCGAAATTCGACTCTTTTAATGGTTTTTGCTTGAATTTTTAATCCTTTTTTTTTCTCGCCATAGAAACCTGCCAGCGGAAAAGCACGAAAGATAAAAGTGAACGAAACAAAATCATCATACATCAATGAAAACGATGCGATTCACATCACCATGAAAAGTTCATCAGCAAAAAGTAGAGACAGTGGGATTGATGAAATGGTATGACTTCTTCCTTTGCTATATAATGTAGGAATATGTTTAGAATACGCTCGCCACCGCACCTCTGACTACCCTGCGTAGGTTCGCTGGTTCGTATCACACACAGGTTAATTATGTGCGAGAGAATTGCTACTTGCCGCCCTATGTAAAGGAAACTCATATCTGAGGAAAGTTATGGGCACTCACTCAGAAGCAAAAGAGACATATCTCTGAGCAAAGCTACGTGTGAAGGCATTTGCCAGTAGCACCCAGATAACCCAAGTTTGAGAAGCCCTGGCCAGTTTCATGCATTCAAAATGAATTCCTGGTTAAATAAATCTACCTTCTCTGCCATACAGGATTCTGACATTCAAGACGGCATCATAACCGAGACATCGGATCCCCACAGGGTTTCAGAAATAGAAGGAAACAACAGGCCAGAAACCCCAGGTGAGATGAAATTTCCATATTTATTCCAGGAAGAGAGGAAATCTGATAGGACAATAATCATATAAGAAACCACGATCTCTTATATAGCCGCAAACTCGAATCCAAAAACACGATAGGCCGATAGCATGATAATTTACCTAGGGGCCACTGGATGCCGCAAATTATGAAAATAATTTTTTTGAACACAAAACAAGTTGAAACATAAATGAACAAATTAGGACTAAATAAAAATAATTAACTGAAAATATTAAGAACTAATAATTAGTGATTGTGCCGTCAAAAATCCGATAACTTATATTAAATGTATTAATCATTAATCATGCTTCATCATCAATGTATCAACTGGGCTAAGTGACACACTAACGTTAGTAAGGAGAGGGCCACAAACTATCGTCCTGTGGGCCGCAATTGGCCCTCGGGCCATGAGTTTGAGACCCCCGATCTAAGTAAATTAGCAAAAGTTTAAAATATGGGGACTATCTAAACAAGGATTTATGCACACGGGGGAACAGGATTGTTTGTTTATCATTCATCGAATTGTTCTCTTTGTTTGTTTAAGTCAACACTGTTAAAGAGAGAGATAGCTGAATTAAAGTGCAGCAATATATACTGGGATAGAATATTGGGTACTCCTGAAGTATGTGAACCAAGATGGTGAACACCGGAACATAATATGTGTACCAGGTTAGAGATAAGTCATAATTTCAGGTACAAATACTACGGGAGTCACTTGGCTAGTCCCCGAACTTGTAATGGAACTAAAATAAGGAAAATTGTAATAAAATTATGGCCTAACTTTGGTACACATACTTCGGGAGCACTGAATATTGTACTTGAGATTATAAATTCTAATCAAACTACATTAAGAATAGAAATGTGATGAGATCTATTCCAGTTTCTTTAAAAACAATAATTTTATATATATCAGTGACTGAATATACAAAGCCTTGTTTAAAGGGAAAATGGATAGAAGAAGATAGAATTTACATATTTATCCCAAAGGAGAGGAAAGCCTATAAGGCAGATCAAATATATGGTGAACCACGGTCTTTCGTTCCAGTCCATGTCAGGTATGGGATTAGTTAGCCAGTTATTTGTTTCAGATGCATGGATTTCATATTGCAGTATTGCAAAACAGGCTAAACTATTTTCAATGAGCACGGACTATTTTGGTGAAAATATATAATGAAATTTTGGTACTCCCGTAGTGTGTACCAGGTTAGGGTTGGGCCATAATTTCATCCCGATTTTCCTTATTTTAGTTCTATTACGAGTTCGGGGACTGTCTGTGTTAGCCAAGTGAATATACCTCCTGCCCATAGGCTTCCGTTCCTTTACACAATTTGATGTAAAGTAGGCGAACAAAATTAGTTGCCTCCATATTGGTTCACACACTTCATACACTTTAATATCCATAAGAACCTGCAGCCCTGTTTGAAACATCTTGTTTAAACCAGATCTAACCAGATTAAAGCAGTATAGACCGGCATGTCCTAGATTGACAGATAGAAGACTGAGAGAAATCATTGAAACATTAACGGGACAAGGAGATTGTTCATCAGGTTCATAATAATTAGAGTAGAATTGGCGTTTGTTCTTTATTACGGGAGAGAGGAAAGCTGAAAATACAGCTTATTGATATGGCGAAATCAAGGCAGTTGCTGAATAGATTAGAATAGACTTTTATGCTTTATTGATGAAGGGAGGGATAACAGAAAAACCGGCTTAATGGTATGGCTTATCAGAGTAAAATGAGCTTTTTTGCCTTGTTGAGGGAAGAGGAAAGTTGGAAAAACAACTTAAGCATTTCTATGTAGGTGCGATGGCCTAATGGCAAAAACTTAAATATGTTGGTATCGCAGTTTAATATTTTAGCTTCAAAGTTATTACGTCACCCGAGTGCAATAAATTGAATACGCAAAGCCAAGCCGGTAAGGAAATGAGTTTATCAAAGTGACTCGAATCATTTGAATGGGACTTCGACCCAACATTGTTCATTACTGGACTTAATGGTGGAAAGAGTCGTAACTGGCCAACGATTATGTTACCACCCTACAATAGCCAGGAGTCCAGTAATCCAACGAATATGTCTCCCACCCTAGATTTGGACCTGTTTTCTCCAACCTTTAAAGGCACGGTCCCCTTTCGGAGCCTGTTTATCATTCCAGTGGTATTTATAGTGCTATTTTGATTTGTATATTCTGAATGTATAAAGTAAAACGACTTATTTGCCAAGCATTGCAGCCTCCCCACCCAACGCTCTGTGGCCCTGTTGGACACCGCTGACTTAGAACAGTGCGCCAACCGTCAATTCATACAAGCATAGAATAGGATTCACACGTTTTCGAAATATGATAACTATGGCATAAGATTACAATCAATGATTATATATTTCTCTGTTTTAGACCTGTCATTAGCCGGACATCAGTTCAGTAGCAACAGTGCATCTCGTGAACGATTGAGGTCAAAGGTTATCTTGGAAGAGCTTGAGTCACAAGGATTGATAAGTTGTAAGTATGATAATTGCGGGACATTACACACACTCACTCAAAAGTAAAGAAAACTCATATCTGAGCAAAGTTAGAGGCGATCACCCAGGAATAAAACAAACTCATCTCTGAGCAAAGTTACGGGCACTTATTCAGAAGTATATCAGACTTATATCTGAGCAAAGTTACGGGCACTCACTCAGAAGTAAAGAAGACTCATCTCTGAGCAAAGTTACAGGCACTCACTCAGAAGTAAAGGAGACTCGTTTCTGAGCAAAGTTACGGGCACTCACTCAGAAGTAAATCAGACTTATATCTGAGCAAAGTTACGGGCACTCACTCAGAAGTAAATCAGACTTATATCTGAGCAAAGTTACCAGCACTCACTCAGAAGTAAAGCAGACTCGTTTCTGAGCAAAGTTACGGGCACTCACTCAGAAGTAAATCAGACTTATATCTGAGCAAAGTTACGGGCACTCACTCAGAAGTAAAGGAGACTCATCTCTGAGCAAAGTTACGGGCACTCACTCAGAAGTAAATCAGACTTATATCTGAGCAAAGTTATGTGCACTCACTCGGAAGTGAAGAAACTCATCTTTGATAAAAAATACGGGCACTCACTCAGAGGTAAAGGAGACTCGTCTCTGTGTGAAGTTACATACAAATCACTGAAATACCAAGAACTACTGAAACATAGAAATATGGTTGCACATTGAAAAACTATATAGAAATATTAAACAGATTACGTTTAATCAGAAATCACACCCAGATTATTATCTTTCACTTGTAGCGGCAAAAGTTCAAACTGGTGGCGCAGCGTTTGAAGTGGGAGGTGGATCAGCTGTTGTCCTTGAACCGTTATCCCGTCCGCCACTCCCACGACCCCCACCTCGACTTGAAAAATTGAAGCATGAAGGACATCAAACTCTAACAAAAGAAGAATTAGACTTAAAGCAAAAACAAGCTGAATTCAGAAGACAAGTACGTTTATAGAATTTGTTTTATGAGTTCAATTTGGATAGGGGTTTGCCTTGACTTAAAGTGAGGGTAGAAGAGTTGAAAGTTTGGTCAAAACAAGGTCCTGAGCTCATAACTAAGTGGAAAGGGTACTGATAGAAACGTTGCATGTTTGCTGAAAGCAAGGTCTCGAGCCCTCAGTTAAAACTAGAAAAAGTGGTACTCCCGAAGTATGTGAACAAAGATGGCAGCCACCAGAACGTATGTACTAGGTTAGGGTTAGGCCAAAATTTTATTTCAATTTCCCTTATTTTAGTTTTATTACGAGTTCGGCAACTAGCCAAGTGACTTCCGTAGTATTTGTACCTGAAATTATGTCCTAACCCTAACCTGGTACACATACTACGTTCTGGTGTCCGCCATCTTGGCCCACATACTTCGGGGGTGCCGAAAGAATAGTGATGGAAATGTTGCAAACGACCGCTGATGTGCTAAATAAAAGTTTAACCAAGTTGAATCAGTCAATATATTTGAAATTAATCTTCATAATATATTAAAGTTTTTTTTTAATCAAACACACAGAACAATTAGGAATATGAGATTTAGAAATATTTTCTGGTTTTTAGAGTAATCATTTATTTGGATTTGCCTATCTATGGTTAGGAGATCCACTTTCACACAGTTTTTTATGTAGTGCACAGTAAATATTAACGTTCATATTTACTTTTTTTCAGAAATCAATGCACAAACCTAAAAGACGTAGCAGACTCGCGTCACAACTTGCAAAAGACAGAGAAATGGCGAATGACATGAATGTAAGTCTTGTTGCTAAGGAGTTTCATCTGATATAGGAGTTACATATTTATCCTGAGGGAGAGGAAAGTCGATAAGGCTTAACCATATGGCGAACCACGGCCTCTAATCCGGTTACCAGTCCAGGTCGGGTATTGGATTAGTTAGCCAGTTATTTGTGTTTTTGGAAGCATGGACTTGATGGCGGAGGAAGCCGTAACCGGCCATCGGTTACGTGAAACACCCTACAGTAGCGAGGAGTCCTGTAATTCTCTCGCACATAACAATCCCCGCATGGGATTCGAACCTGCAAACCCACGCAGGGTAATCAGAGGTGCGGTGGCGAGCGTATTCCTAACGCTCTCTCTGACCGCTTGACATTGAAAAACTTACAGTACTGTCCAATTGATTACACCCTGATCCATTGCGGCATAGTTAAAATTCAATTAAGTATGGCAACAAAGAGTTAGTAAATCGGTGGGTCAGTTTCATAAACCCCAAGTTAAAAATTTATAAGGCCCAGTCTAAAAATCTTCACGAATCGGCATGAAATTTCGTAATTGCTGACTGCAGCCTTATCATATACTTTCTGCCAAGCATTCGAGCCTGCGATACGAAGCAAAATGCATAGACCGTTGATTTAATAGTTGATTTTAAACCCTGTATTTTTTATTTAAGCATGAAGACAAATCAGTCGACCCTGAAGATGGTTCACCCTGGACCTTTGATGAAAGTGAAATCGACGACCCGTTCAAGACTCGACACGAGATTCCACATGAATAATTTTTTATCTTAATTTTTTTTGCTTTTTAACTTTTCGTAGATAATTTATTTTATTGAGCAGAAATTTGATATCATTGGATTAAGTTTGACCATCTGTTGGTTCTCACTAATCATAAGATAGACTAGACAATTTCCCTGAAAGTGTTGAATGTTTTCAAGGATGATTTCAACCGCTATCTACTGTCATTTCCAATACGAGAATAACCTATAGATTTATTTTAGAGTTTCAGTGATTGCATGCAATTTCTTTTTCATTTGTATTGTTTTTACTTTTATTAAGAGATCTTGCATTGCGCAAGCTCGCAACTTTTCTATCGGTACCATTTCCACTTTTAGTTGAGGGCTCGGCACCTTTCCACTGGGCGGTTTGGGACAGTGGTGGGATTCAGCTGGTTCTATAGAACCGCCTCACGGAATTTTATGAGATCAGCGAACCAGTTAGCATTACTGGTTACTGACAATGTTTTATTTGTAACAGAACCGGCTGAAAAATATGACTTTTGTGAAGGAACCGGCTGACAAAAAATTTGAATCTCACCACTGGTTTGGGACCTTACTTTGAACAAACTTCCAACTCTTCTTTTAGTACTCTTTCCACTTTTAATGTGGGTATGGGTCCTTTCAGTTGACTCTCAAGCAAAATCTACTAAGATACATCCAATGGTTTTGGATTTCAAGCCCTTTTTTATGAATATTTGTTAAATTAATTCATTGCACTTCCTTGCACGTTATATCCAGTGTTTTAGTTAAAAATTAATATTTTCTACAAATGCTTCTAGATTGTCAAACAGAAGATTTATGTTTTTATAATTCGTGTTAAGTTGGAATAATTTATCCATTTGTATATTGAGTGTGTCATGGTCGGGGGAGGTAATAATCAGAAAGGAACGTGCCTGAGCTATCTTTGTTCATACAGGTTGGCAAAACCATTTGCGAACGCTTTGTAGGTTTGAACTCCAGAAAAATAATAAAAAATTTGTTGACAAACTTTGGTTAATTCTACGCTTATCTTTTAAAAGAATTTGCAAAGTTATTTAAACTAATTGTGTTCATTTTTTAATTACTTAATTACTATTGGATTCACCTTACTTTACTGCAGATTTTAATAGCATATGTCAACTTATATTTTAAAATTTATTGCGATTTCTTTAAAAGTAGAATATTGCAAAATACTAAAATTAATTCTGCGATGTCATTGTCTATCGAATAATGAACTTTACGTGACATCGATAATCCGATTAGGATCTGAAACTGCGTCACGACGTAACTTCGCGTATGCTTCCATAAATATCCGAATGCGGTCAATTTTTAAGCATAAAAGCAACGATATAAAAACTATTTTATCGGTACAGTTTACATGAATGCAACTAACTGGTTGATATAATGGTTCGCGAGAATCTGAGGGTACAAGAAGACTAAAATATATGTTCGCAGTAGACTACAAATAATGTCAGGATTGCCACACTCGGAAAAATTCATGTAATAACAAAGTGTAGCGAATATTTTAAAAAGTATGGGTACAATAAACAAAGTTCGTCATGTTTGAATGGGCTATATCCATCATTGGTGATATTCCGTAATCAAAACGCAATGCCACTTCTGATATGGCTACTTCTTATCTGAATAGGATATTGCACTTCTCCAAAAACACTAAGCCATTCCTGGAAAAGGAGTTTTAAAAATTGCTACGTTTTTTATGAAGTAGGCCTTTCTTAAATCGGAAGCTGTTTCCCTAAAATAAACGCTTTTTAGAAAATGCCCATATCTTTTCTAAAAATGCAACGTCTCTTTTAAACGGGAAAAAAATTCTACGTTTATTCTAATTTGTCAATATCGCCCAAAAACTATAGCACCGATGTAAATGAGCCTGGATTATGCAAAACGTAACTAATTTGAAATAAAAAAGATTTTGAGTTATTGATGAATTATCGAATAGTTTAGGTAATTTCACAGCAAAATTTATATAGCAATGTAATATTGTAATCTTAATTAAACATAATACATTTAATTTTGATTTACATGTGTGAGTGAGCATAACCTTTCTGTTGCTTTTTAATAGTAATTGAAAATTAATATTTCATAATTCATTGTCTTTTCTCTGTAAAAACTTTGCTAAAAACTAATATTAATTCTGCTATGTCATTATTTATCACGTAACAAACGTCACGCGATATCGATTATCTGGAACTGCGGCACGACATAACACGACGTGAATGATCGTGGTCGAATGTGTAGATTTTTGAGAATAAAGGCGACAAAAGTTTGATATCGATTGTATGCAAGCAATTAGTTTGCCAGACTTTCAACGTGCCGAAAAAAAATCGTTACTGAATTTAATATTAGACAAAGTAATTTATTATGCGCTGAGATTAAATACCTGTTAAATAGTTTTGTAAGAACTCAGAGAAAGCAGAGTTATTTATCGATCTGAGAAGTTTACCACACCTAAAGATATATTCATATTACGATATAAAACGATATTAAAATGTGACGCCATCGACAACTGAAGTACAATGCATGGGCTAGCTACTGAGACTATACAGAAATATGGTGACGCACAAATTCAGAAATAATAAAGACTCATCTCTGAGAGTAGTTTGAAGTGTAAAGTGTTACTAAAAATATACATAGTTATGGTGATACAGTACATGCAATCAGAAGTAAATCAATGTGACTCATCTCTGAGAATTGTGAAAAATCGATAGATAAAGCGGTTCTCACAGTAAGAAGTTTTATTTAGTATGCATGATGACCTTGCTTTAATCAAACTAACAACTCTTCTATCAGAAATCTTTCCATTTTTAGTTGTGGACTCGGGGAAACAAACTTGTAACGTTTCATTAGTACTTATTCCACTTGTAATTGAGGGTGCGAGACATTACTTTGATGAATTTGCAATTATTCCGAATGAACTCGAGTAGACTCTCAAGTAAAATCTACTAAGATAAATCCGTTATAGCACGTTATAGCCAGTGTTTTAAGTGAAAATTGATATTTTGTACAAATGCTTCAAGATAGATAAATAACAGAAGATTTATGTTTTTATAAATTGTGTAAACTTGTAATTATAATTCCATTTTGATATTGAGCGTATTATAATTGGGGTAATAATAATCGGAAGGGGGTTGTATACCAAGCTATCTGATTCCATATCGGCTTGTTTATAAATGCTCCCTTTGCAGTTTTGAATTCCAGATTTATGAAAAATAAGTTACAGCAAAGTTTGGGTAATTTTACGCTTATCTTTTATTGGCAATTTTTAAAGTTTTGAATAAAATATTTGAGTTCACCTTTTAATTACTGTTAAATTCAGATAACTTAACTGTAAATTTTAATAGCATATGTCAACTTAAATTTTAAAGTTTATTACGATTTCTTTAAAAATAGAATATTGCGCTGGTAATATTTGGACTCACCCCTTATCGGATAAGACGTTTTGATATCGATAAATTTCAAAAGTCCTAATATGAGTTAATATCAGTTTTGAAACTAAATATTGTCGAACGAAACGTTACTTGATAGTTAATCAACTGAGTATACTTTAGTGAGAAAGTACAGTCAGTGTTAGAAATCGTTGCGCGTAGGCCAAGAAACGTAGTACGTAAGTATTTAGGGTTTCAGTGTGAAACGAAGGTTTCCTAGGAAACTGTCGGGCCGATCCGGACGGAACTTACCATGTAGGTCGGGGATTGTGTCCACATGATCGGGCCTAAGGAAGTGGCCCAAAACAGGCTTTCAGTGGTTTGAGCTTTGTTATCTGTCAATAAAGATGTCGATCAAGACACACTCTCTCGAGTGATTTCGGTGTTTAGAGGCCGTATAGCTGGGATTCCGGGGCGGGAAAGCATTTGCCCAAATATTGGGAATTTTTATAAGTAGTATTAGGGATGGGGGCAGAGTATCAGCCATTTTAGTGGTGAGATAACGCGTGTAAAGCCAATTTCGCTTGGGAATTTCTGATTTTGGGCAATTCTGAGCATCTGTAATGAGATTTCGGGCAAAGCGATGCTCGATTGTCGAAGAGAATAATTTATCGAATATTTCACCACCGGTAACTTGGTAATTCCCCCTCCCCGTAACGCTCCAGTGACGTCGGAACGTTGTGCACCTCAGATTGAAGCTATCAAGATACAAAGTATAAGAATAGTTGAAAAAATTAGTTGAATGCCTTTTTCAAGATTTTGTTTTTCTCAATTCCCAGTCTTGGTCCAGGGACTTCGGCTTATCGCAGGCCTCTGAATGAATTTTCAATGTCGCTTTCAAATTATCCTTTCTCATTCTATAAATGCTACGCTCCTTCTGGATTTTCACTATCTCGGCTACAAATAGCGTTGTCGAATACTCTAATCTGTATCTAATTTTCGAAATAGATCAAACATGCTCTGCGCACGTTTGAAAAAAAAAAAATTATTTTTTTGCAAAATAGTGTTGAATTATGGTTCACTTTGACATAACTTATTAATTCTAATTAGAACTTTTCCTCATTCAGTTAATACTTAACTACACTGAAACCTCGAGAGATGAAAATCTCAATCGTTTTTATCTTAATCTACGTCTTCGCTTCATCCTGGAGTCAAGATGAAACAGTGTTTCACTGCTCTCCCAAGCCGGGTTGCCAGATTGCACAATGTGATCCGGTTGCTGTAAGATGGGACAGACCAGGTTTCAACATTGATGAACATCTGCATGACAAAGAGTTTCCGATAACGTGCAAATCCAAGCATGCGCCACAGTCTCGAAATACTGCTGACTTGTTTCCTTTAGTATCCAGGAATATTTTAGGCAAGTATGATAGTTGTTGAAGAGCCTCGTTCAATTAGATATAAGAACTTATGAAAACATTGGAAAAGATACCGTTTACAATTTTTATTTTAGGTTATATATTGAAATATTTTATTTTTTTGTTTGGTAGATCTGAACTCCTAAACATATAGAAGAGCATAGAACAGGGTGGTCCAAACCCAGGCCCGCGGGCCACAAATGGTCCGCCGCTTTATTATCTGTGGCCCGCGTCACATTCGGAGAGTAATCCAAAAATAGCATTTCGTGTTGGTTTGTAATAAAATTAATCAGAAAAATCTTCCTACATATTGTTAAATCATTAATGTCACTGAATTGACTAGTGTTGAGGCAACTAGCGAAGTTGAATGATGTGATTGGCAGTCTAAATTATTATCTGGCTTTCTATCTTTTTGGTCGGGAATATTTGCTAACAATAGAAAACTAAAAATCTAATGCGGATTCTATTAGCCTTGGATGGCTATGTCTGATAACTATGTGTTTGCATACTAAACGTGTTTGTTTTGTATTGCACTGTTTACCTATTCTCGACACTATTGTGGCCCGCGAGCAATGCAAAAATAATTTTGTGGCCCGTGGAGCTGACACCCTTGGACCACCCTTGACCATAGAGTGCAGAATTAACCCCCCCTGGTCCATAGATCGAGTGCAGAATCAAATCTCTGCATTTGGACATGACGTCAAAGTGTTCTCATTTACCAACGATTTTATTTGTAATCTGATAAAATGATTTAAATTTATATTAATGGGTTTTCTATCTTCATCCAGATATTGGAAATATCAGATCAGATTTAAGGAAACTGGAAGAAAACTTCGAAAATAAAATGGAAAAAATTGATGGTTCTGGAAATGACGGTTAGAATTCTCCATCCAATTAATTTTCATTGAAAATAGCTAGGAATATGTTCACAAATACTCAAATGTATGTAAAGTTTCTTTAAAAAGGTTTTTGGTCCTAAAGAAAATTGAACTGAAATTCAAGATGTTTAAAACAGAGTTTGTTTTTCAACAGAAAGTGGCAACAAGTTTAAAGAACAATCAGCAAAAATTAACAAACTTGAAAGGAATGTTGAACAGCAATCTGACGAAATGAAGAAATTGAAGAAAGGTTGGTTATATATTCGTCTACAGATTGCGATAAGAGTGTATTAGCTGAATCATTGAAAACAAATCGAAATTATGAAAATAGAATGATCCGTTTTCAATTTAAACTTTTATGGAACACCAGAGGAATTCTTTCAATCGTGTCTATTAGAAATGTTTTATGGATACAGTTCACGCTTTCGTTAACCTATTAAACGCAAAGTATCAGTGGCGACCCCTCTAACATTGACAGTCGTGATTGTGAGACTCAATTGGCAGCTGAAATCGGAGAGTGAGGTACAAAACGCAACAAAAACTGCGCAACATTCTATTGAGATCCAAGATTTGAAAAAAGGTTGTTGCACATTTCTGACTGGTGAAGTTGTTTTTAGTCCCCTTTCTAGTATTTGAACCCGATAAAGCCAAAGGTTTTATTGCGTCAAAATTATTAATTTAGCAAAGTCAGAATCTAATATGTTTCGAATATGTTGGGTCACGAATGCAGTTCTCTGAGAGTTGGATTTTGCAGTCGTGGAAAATCATTCAATATCTCACTCGACTCAGAAGTGCTCTGAACTCTCTCCGACTTTTTGAATATCCATGTATTTATAAAAAGCTACACTGACTGACTCAATATAATATTTCATTTCTTAGATTTGGTTGAAGTTCAAAGAACGAATAACATTTTGGTGGAAGAATTGAATGAACAAAAGAAAACAAGCGACGAAATGAAGAAAGGTAAATTAAGTAAATTAATCGATGAGAATATGATTCATTAAAGCAAACAATCATGATAGGTAACTACTATCACAAAAACGTTTTTAAGCTGATGTTTCAGGAACAATATACGGAACAAAAATATTAAATATTGTATTCTGAACTTCTAAATGTTATTTCTTCATTAGATTTGCTTCAAGTTCAACAAACAAATATAAATTTGATAAAAGAATTGGATCGCAAGAAGAAAACCATCGATGAGATATCGAAAGGTATTTTTATGTTATTTTAGATCACCGGAATACATTTAAGCGCAATAGTTGATAAGTTACAAAGTAGAAAACCGCTTGCTCAGGTTAGCAGTTTTTAAATTAGAAACTTTTTTTATTCATATTTTCCCACGAACTAATTTATATCAAAGTAGATTTTCAATTAATTGAGCGGAAAGTGCGCATGTTTCTGGCTTTTGAATGGAAAAATTGTAGGAAACCGGTCTAAATGACATTATTTCCACGACGGACTACCTTTTTGAGCCTGTCTAAGAACAATAAATTTGAAAAACAACGAAGACTGACACAACATTGGAACTGATTCTTTCTCCAGTTGAGTACTTTATCCAATATAAGTTGTAGTTTATGAATATTTGACGAATTATTCGCATTATATCGTTTATCAAATATTACATTTTTTTGAATTATTTAATCCAGGAAGAATATGAGCAATATATGCATTCCCAAATACGACCAGATGAGTCGACTAATTTGATCAGATTTGAATATATTGAAATATTGTTAGAAGTTCCTTTGCTTCTTATTTGTAGCAACGATTTTTTGAAAAACATTACTTGTTTGATTTTGAATTTTTAAATAAATTGTTGTTTCATTTCAGGAAACTGCGAACTAAAGGTTGGAAATATCTGCTATTTCGCTGTGATACTTGATGATATGGATGTCAGCTACGACAATGCAGTTGATATTTGTAAGAAACGTAACGCAGATGTTGGTTTGATTCGAGATGAAGGATCTTATAATGCGATTATGAATTACACGAGAAGGAATATGCCAAAGGAAAAGAAGTGGGTTCAAATATGGACAGGAATTAAGATTGATCCAATGGTTAGTATCATATAGTTATGTCAATTAATCTCATCTGTAGGAATATAAAAGATATTACGAGATGGGCAGAGTGTGAGGTGATGAGACACGGTCAAAAATGTTTGAGACATCTTGGGTTATTTTATTATCTACGACAGCGCAGGCGGTATATCGAATACATTTTTTAGGTTTTATCTGTTTCTGAATCCGAGTAAATTTACTCAGAAGGTTTTCGATTGTCTTGGCGTTAATGTTATCCGATATTTAAAAATTATACCAATATTAATTCCACTTCAAGTTTACAACTTGGGCCTCAAACACAGCGCTGTAATGAAGCTTTGGAAATGGTAAATGAGCAAGCAAAAAAAAATATTGCTATATCTTAAATGATTTGCAATGCCACCAGTCTTACCACCAATATATCATGAGTATCCCATTCATTTATGTCGGTGTCCCACCATAAATTAAATTTTAGATACAAGTATATGAAGAAAAAGGAGAGGAAAAAACATTTGAAAGGTATAAATCATAAAGACTAAGGTTAGCTCTGACGTAATCAAGTTGCTATGACACGGTTAAAGTTCTATGTGAAATACAAATGTGCTGCCCCATTCCATTCGCGTGGACACGCCTGTGTTTTACCACAAGTCTAAACTATTGAATCGCGCTGCTTGGCCCTGTTTCTCTATGAAGTTGACATGATCTTTACATTCGCTTTGTATAACTTGCGGCTTCATCGTACATTGGAAGTTATTTCCAGTTGTTCCGCAACAACCTATTCATCTAATTCTATCAGAAGACACGTGTAGCACTCACTATCTCAGTGCGGGACAATTTGATTGCGGCCATTTTCGCATTTATGCTTCCAAACTTTCTTCGTGTTGCATCTGGTTTTGGCCTGCTTTTCGTCTATTTTAGTACCGAGTTCTCCGCATATGGATGTATATGCGACACTTTCTGGATATTCAAATACAATTAAATTCAAGTTGGGAATTTAGAGCCTGATGTGGATCTCGTTCTTGAGAAAGTTTGGTTGTTCATGCGATTACGCAATATATATATGTGAAAGCAATTGTTTTTGCCGGTTTCATTACATTTTAACCCACGCACATTTGAACACGTAATATGAACCCACGACAATTGCACCTGACACCCATGAATTCTAATCTATAGGTTTTAGCACCCTCATACAGATTGAACCCGTGGATATACGGGTGCAAATGTATGAGTTCGAATGAACGGTCACCCTTTTCGACTGATATCATAATAAAAACGCAATAACTTCCACGGGAAACATTTCACCTAAGTCTTCGGTTGAGAGCGAAGCACACTTTGGTTGGTACTATCGTAGTGTGCGTACCAGGTTGGGGTTAGGCAATAATTTTTCTGATTTACCTTATTTTTTCTGATTTACCTTATTTGCGTTCTATTACGAGTTCGGGTACTGTTTGTGTTATCCAGATTCCCTGCCCATAGGTTTCAGTCCTTTCACAAAACTTGATGTAAAGTAGGCGAACAGAATTAGTTACCTACATATTGGTAGACACATTTCTGGAGCTCCCTTTAGTTCCATTTAGATGCCACGCAATGATATTGAGATCGCCACGCAAAATACTTACGACGATATAATATGGCCAAATACTAGTGAATGGGGAAGCGATTCCGAAAAGCCATCTTGGTTAATGTTCTGTGGTCGTTATTGTTCGCTTTTAACTGATACGTTGGCCATATTGTTAATCCACGACATTTGCAAATTGAAAAAAATAACCAAACTTGGAACCGTATGGTGGGCTGGGATATATTAGCGTTTGATACATCATGAAAAACGAATCAAGATCGGGAGAATATGCAAGAAAAATCGACGTAAATGGTCAAATCCCATAAGGAAATGCATTACGCATCTCGGAAAAGTTGGAAGTCTATCGACTAAACAAGCGAGTCTTCATTTTGGTCCCGCGGAAATGAGAAAGAATCCCATTCTTTATTTATATATCTCTGTGGTTGCACTGAACTGCTTTTTAATTTAACAGTAATTGTGCAATATTATAGTTTTGGAAAAGCCTTCGCCCAGAGCATGAACATGAAGTACTACATGGAAAGGCAAGAGAGATTAGAAATATTTGCATTTACTTTTGACCAAGCATAGATCAAGAATATATATATCACAGTCGCTTCACATAATCATCAGGAGACTCGTCTTGTACTGAACTGCGTAGAGTCATAAAGGAATTGTGCAGTGCAATAGTTTTAGACAAATCTTTACCAAACGTATGAACATGAAGTTTTAAATATTATCATATGAGAGACTAGAAATACTTGCATTCACATTCGACCAAGCATGGATCAATAATAATATATCGTATTTTGATGAAAAATTCCATGAAAAACATCATTCGTGACTATAAATGCGTGATCATGCTTGATTCCGTGATAAACGCCATCTGATTTTTTTTAGACTGGTGACGTCACACCTGCATATTTATTCACTAAATGGTATCCAGATCATCCAGCCACGGGAATTCTAAATGAAGATCGCACAAATGTTTGCCTTGTTGTTAAAGCAGACCCGAATGATCGTCGTCAAGGGATGGCGAATGTTTATCCTATCTATAAGCAGCATGGAGTTATTTGTGAGATCCTGATATAATGAAACGACTGTCTGGTTGTTTTTTGTTCCTTTATTATCAATAAAATATAAATCATTGAATCCCAGTTAAATTTATTCGATTAGCCTTACGCTGATCCATGTCGTTATCACAGCTATAATGAGGTAAATGAAATTACGGTAAATTTTGTATTATCCAAACGTAAAAATGATTCCTACTTTCGAAATTTTCCAGTCCTGCAAACAATTTATTTAAAATCATATATTATCGAATAATAGTTGGTTTTTTCATAATGTTATTTTCCTTGTTTTGCTGATCTTACTATTTGAGTTGTAAATAATTTAAATTTGAATGAAAATTGAAGATTTAGTCGCGTAAATTTGGAATTTGAGAATTTAAACTCATAATAAATTCGGCTAATGTGTAATAATTTTTTTTTGCTGTCTCTCAAAGGGATCAGGTCGATCACGAAATAGGTTCGTGAAATTAGAATAATTTATCTCGTGAGAACACAAGGACTGAAATTAATTGAAAAAGCAAAGGGCTGAAAAAATTATCCAAATTGTTTCAACAATGAATGGAAACATTGAAAGGTTTAAACATAACATTATTACGTTTTTAATGCAAAAAGTCTGAGAATGCGTCCTCTCGTTGGATTGGTTGTGGTATCATATCGTCCATCCAAGTTAATTCGAATCTCGTCGCCAATTTTACAGCTTGGCAAATGTTCTCAATATTTACTGACCCAAAAACGATGAAACTCGTAACTCAGATTCATTTTAAATGCCGTTTTATTTATTTAGACAAGACTAGTTAATATTACATGCAACATAGTATAGATAAGAATGGTGACAAAATATATATTGGCAGTGAAAAAGCATCACAGAACCTTAGTAATTAATTACTCGGAAAATTACATGAAGGGACAACTTTGGTCGGTGGGTTTGTTCAAATTGACAATGATCTTGATGTACTTTAACATATTGAAATATGGCTGTGGTCTGAGGTTTGGAGCTCTTTATGCCGGTAGTGATTAAAATTTTCCAATCCCAGTGAAAATATCCAACAATATAATGTGATGTAGAACAGGATATAAATGTTGGGAAATTTGACTTTAGAAAGTGAAATTGGTAACTTTGACAATAGAACAGTATATATATTCAAAAGATAAATAGACTTAATTCCGTTGCACATCATGTTAGAATCATCCTTCCTATCGCAATGGTGAACAGCCTCTGTATATGTGTGGGTTTGTGGGGGATAATTATGTGCGACAGCATTACTGGGTGGTTCATCTATCCTATGGTGAATTGGGACTTCCCCCATCATCCGGTTTCAAACGTTTCGAACGATGATTTCCTATTACCCTCGCACTGGGCATCTGTGAAAGAAAGCTGTGGTTCTTCATGCAAGTTTTATACTTTTCTCTGTCCTGAGATAAATGTTAAATATACTGTTGTATTCGAGATGCTGAGGGTTATCGTTATCGGATAAAAGCACGTGATATATATCTAACATATGGCAACAAAACATATTACATTAAATTATAACAGTGTTAAAAAATATATGGAACAGTTCCATATCTAATGACAGGACTAGCAGACATGGATTATAATGGATAAACATTCAATTTAAATAAGTTTCTCTACACCAATAATCGTAAAGGCGACTTTGATAACTATAAATGGGGAATGAATATGAATGCAAAAACAAGGACTTGTTGGGCAGTGAAAGAAATGGATTTAAATTTCAAGGCGACATATAATAACTAGACTAGTAGACACAACACATACTTTTGCTGTTCATTTATTGTCATAGTGAAGGTATTATGATGCTGATCATTCAATTTCAATTACATTCTCGACAAGTTACCATTTAGATGCAGGTTCTGCTACTACATGTTCGATTTGAGGCAACATATAATAATTGAGTCAGTGGAAGAGAGCCCGCAAAAAGAGAAATGGGCGCAAACTTCAGGTGACAGATGTTACTATGCAGCGTGGACAATAAATACAAAATCAAAAAACGGCTTATAATGACTAACTTGAGCAGCGTGGAAATAGTTGCAATATTTTATGCGACATATATTATAAACCTCAACAGTGAGGAGGATGGCTAATCAAATCTGGACAATAACTGTGACGTTGCTTTGATGTAAACGTAACACATACTTTTGTGGCAACATGGCAAAGCAATCTAATAAAAAAATGGCTGCTAAATTTCGGATAAGTGAATTGATCACATGGCGTTTTTACTTCCATTATGTCTGCGTCGTTATTTAATCACCCCGGTCCTTGTTCCTGGGATCAAAATATGCCGTATCCATATCATTGTCCGGTGTCGCACAAACTGCGGGGTTATAGAGGTTCAAATTAGTCCAGTTGAGGGAGCCAAAGATCTCAGAGCTGCAAATATCTAAACGTGAATAAAAAACTCTCATTGAACAAAAATGGACTATCGACTCTCTTAAAGTGGGAGGAAAGTAATAGACAAAAAAAAACTTCTGTGAGTTCTTAGCTGAGTAACGACCCAACAGGTCATTTAAAATGGAGTTATTCCCGTAGTGTGTGTACCAGGCTAGGGTTAGAATATTATACATGACGTGCTCTCAACTGGGTCACATTCAGGTCAAATTAGGAAACTAGTTAAACAGGTTGTTGGAAGGAGTCATACCTAATGGTTTCGATGGCAAGGATTTTGGACAGAATTATACATTATATTCTCCTATCTTTAGAATTCCCTCTTTCGTCTGGTTTCAGAGTCAAAAGCTTTAAAATTAGTGAGGTTGCCGGTTCGGATAACGCTTCGTCACCTTCTGACCATTCCATCTCTGTAGGAAAAAACTTATTTACTTCAAAAATGTTTTGCTTTGGAAATCAATCCCTACAAGTTACCATATATTTGGTCTATCTATGGAAAGTATAGACAAGGGTGTAGCAAAGAAATAATGTAAAAGAGACTCATCTCTGAGCAAAGTTACCGGAACTCAATCAGAAGTAAACGAGACCCATCTCTGAGCAAAGTTACCGGCACTCACTCAGAAATAAATAAGACTCATATCCGAGCAAAGTGTCGGGCACTCAGTCAGAAGTAAAGGAGACTCATCTCTAAACAAAGTTATGGGTATCTCTGAGTAATGTAACATACACTAACTCAGAATTAAGGACGCTCATTTTTGAAGAAAGTCACAATTCTCGGCTCAAAACTGATTTGACTTTTATCTTCACAAAAAATTTCCTGTTCCTCCCACTTTCATTGCTTGATAAGTTTATTGTTGAGTATGGATTGTTCGATTTGGAACCCACCTATCAAAATACAACTAGAATGACAAATAGGGGACTATAGGTCACTGAACGAACCCCATGCGGAAGGGAGCCATGAAAGGTATGAACCACTGCTATATAGAATTATGGTGTTGCATTACGGCATTACAATTTATGACATACAGCATCAGGATGGTTTCACCAGTAGCAGATGACGATATGCAAAAGCATATGATGGATATAACAAGCAATTAAAATGTCTCAACGGTTTCTTTTGACAATTCTCGGAGTTCGCAGAGGAGTTGGTTTCAAAGCCATGTGTCTCATCGAGGTCAAAGGTGGCAACGGAGTTCTTTGTTTTGGTGTGTTGAAACGGATACGGTTGACTGATCGCAACCCGAACGATGGTTACAGACCTGTATTCTGATAAATAACTAGGATCAGGAAACAGAAGGCAAAGGCCCATGTGTGGGCAAGATCCGATAATCTACTTCTCAGAATACACTCCTAATTAAGGGTTCCTTTGTGAAAGTGAACTTCTTATTTTTGTTTTGGGATAAAAAAAAATTGAAATTTTTAGGGTTCAGGAGCTGAAGATTCAATTACTAAAATGAAAACTGGCATGAAAACCCGGAAAAGACCTTTATTCTGATAAAATGTCCATGAAATAGCACACTTATATATGGATTAGAAAAAAATTGATGCAATTCTGGAAAAAAAAAACAGAGCCAGGCATGGCTAAGGTAGGATAATCTACTATTCAGAATTAGGATAAGTCATCATTTTCATCCCGGGGGAAAGACATGCTGATAATATCAGCTTGATCATATAGAGAACCTTGATGGTGGAGGAAGCCGTAACCGACCAGCAGTTACATGAACAAGAACCAACCTACGGTGGCAAGGATTCCAGCAATTCCCTTGCACTTTATTATCCCTATTGGTATTCGAACCTGTGAACCCAGGCAGGGTAATCAGAGGTGCGAGGGCATATTCCTGATGCTTAGCATGATGTACCACCACACTAATCATACTATTCTAGTTTCAAATACGAAATGTGAAATTATAATTCCGAGACAATTTCAGCACTTTGTTTCCAGACGGAGATGAAAGGTGGATATAATCTTTCAACAACAACAGAGCCGGCGCGTAATTTACTATACTGAATACATTCAAAAATTAGGACTGGTCGCGACAAAGTACTCCTCAGTTACCTTAGGGTTAGGAGCAGAATTCCGTTATCCTGGTTATTTTCGAGAAGATTCTTTCGATTAGGTGTGTGGAATGAGTTTCTATACTGCTGTCTTGCACGATTGGGAATTTTGTCTGATTCAAACGAAAAATGACGAAATTTTGAGAATGAAGGAATCGGGTGTGAATTATATCAAGTTCGAATATACGCAAAAGCTCCTCCCGTTGGGCAAATACCAAATTCTCCTCCGCGAATGTGACAGAAGTCCGTGCAACAGTGGATTTCGTTTCAGTTTCTTTGGATAAAACAACTTCTGGTGATTAAAAGTTGGCAGCCATAGACTCCAGCCCAGACTTAGCCATAGACACTGACGCAGCCATTATAATAGCCTCCGGTGCAGTCATATTTTCTCCACGTTTGACTGATTTTTGTTGGATTGGTGACACATTAATTGTTTATATGCGGAGGGAATAGAATCACCAACGAACTGTCCAGATCTTAAAAATTCAGCGGAATGCTGCTTGCTCTGAAAAAAAGATAAAATATGCTGAGTCAGCAAAATCAATATGCCGGAAATCAGCCATCAGCCAAAGGAGAATTTTTAAGCTTCTATATGTTGAGGAGAGCTGACAAAATTATTTCAAAGTGTCATTCCGATCCAATAACCAAATCCAACAAGTGTAAGTGTAAACCTTCTTTAAATATCTGTTGAAAACGCTTAGTCAACCTGATGCTTTTCGAATTTTTGTAAAAAGTTTTGACTGAATATTATCGTATGAAAAATCCAAATTAAATATATTTTTTCAAGTAGTTAGCCATAGTGCTTGGTTGACTATGAGCTCCCACCCATCACCCAATCTGCCTACTTACTACTTCAATTTGGGGGTAGCACGCTGGACGAATTTATGTCATTCGTCAGGCGCAACGACCA